TAACGCGATCGTGTCCTAAACAACATTAAATGGCTGATCTTTGTAGCGGAGACGTAGCGTGTTTCGTGTGAGACAAGAACGGAATTCTTATATAGCCTGTAGAAGAGATTCGGGCTTAAAAGGTTAAATGGGGTCACAATGAGTTCGAATCTGACAGTAATAGAGACTCTGGACCTGACAAAATGGACCCCTGATCGAAGTTCGATATCGGCTGTTCTGTTGAAGATCAAAGCATTTAAGGAACATTCTGAAACCGTACGTGGTAGAGACGAAATCTAGCGAAAGTTTTAACACCTACTGCCAATATCCGAAAGGACAGTAAACGGCTGCTACCGTCGATACCTTCGACGTGTCAATGGGAAGTGAGTGAGCATCTCGTTAAATGATACCTTACAGAGGTTACCTCATTATCGGCGAAAGCACTGAAAGAGTTGGCGGCACTTAAGGAGGTCGCAGATAAAGGCCCACGAGAGTGTTTCCAGTAGAGGTACGCCAGCTGGCAGAGCTGTGTCACAGTGAAGATGAATTAAGTCAGAGCCTGAAGAAATGTTCGCCATGATGGCAGACGAATTCATACGAATAAAAGTTGTTGAAAGGTTTCATTCTACCACCCACACTCTTCTGAGCTGTGATATATTCTCAAAAGTACAAATTCAAATCTATCCAAATATGCTTATCAACAATCAGTAAGCCACTGTAGTTAGGTTCGATAGAATGCGGCAACGTTTACAGCTAATTTGGGGTCCTACGGTAAAACGTTTTCGAATTTACTGCACATTTACGAGTTTCCATTGCCATTAACATACCGCTCTATATTCCGAACAACTTGAATAAAATAAGCTTACGTTTCGAAGTTGTTCTTTCGGAAAACGAGGTACATAATTTGCACATTTTCAATATAATTCGTGTATCTGTATAAGGTAAAAGGTAAGGTGCTTAACTAAGTAAGCACTATGCCATGAAGGCGTAGGGGGAGTGGATCTAGGGATCCACGTTTTCTTGACCTAGGCACTAGTTGGAGATGAGTGGTCAGCTTCACGCCACTGCCGCTTTACCCCCGGGGTAAGATACCCCGGTACACGTTGGATAGGAGGCTGGGTGGACCCCAGAGCCGGTCTGGAAGACATAAGTATTTGTATAGTTGTTCAAAATAAACTAAATGCAAAGTATATTAGTGAGAGACTAATATATCCTGGATACAAAACCATACAAGAAATGAAAAGCACACGCAAAAAAGAACAAAAGGTTCCTGGGGCCACCTTTTAGCATTCTCACTTCACCATCCCCGTGCAACTTCGTCCATATATTAAAATTCACAATTCCAAGGATTTTGTCTCTTCATATTATTTATTTAACACTACATGTTTAGGCCTAACCGGTCATCAACAGGTGTATAAGACTGTAGATGAAAACTGCTGCTCTACTCTTATGCTGTTGTGTGCTGAATTTTACTAGTAATGTAAAATGTTTATAGAATACTTTAAATTATTTTTATATTATCATGCCATGGCTACTTCTGTTGTGCACACATGTTTGGTGTAAGTGTAATATATAATAATGGTTTATATTAGTGTTTTATTTAATAGACGGATATGTTATATACTGTTAGTCTGTCTCTGTAATTGTAATGTTTTTGGTGTGTTGGTTTCTTTCCTTTGTGTTGTGTGTAACTGTGCTGGTTGTTTCGTTTAATGGTTCTCTTTTATAAAAGGGGTGGTTTGTTAGTGCTAACTGGTGTTCCGTTTCCTAAAATGTTTTGAATACTGGCTTATATATATCAATGTTTATGTCATGCATACATAAATAATAATTATTATAATATAAACAAAATAAAAAACATCCAGCCTTTAATATTTCTAAATCGTTGCCTCACTTTCTATATAACTGTCATATTAGCAATCCGTTACACACTAATTACATTGAGAAAACACGCTTGCTATATTGCAAGAATAAAAAACCTAACGATCACACGATTCACCGAAAATCCGAAGTTTATAAGCTGTGCTGGATTTGTGTTCTCACAGCGGGGGATACGAAGAGTTATATTTTGGGGAGATAATGCAGTATAGTCCGGTGAAAGTCAACCGACATTTCAGAGGAACATATCTCCATCTTCAGGTCCGAAAAGTATTCTTATTATTATGGTTCGACAGCCCTTGTTTGGGCCTTAGCCTTTTTCCAGTTTCTTGATCTTTTGAACAGTCTGTAGGACTCCTTGGACGGAGATCAGCTCGTCGCAAGACCGCTACCTACATACAGAACAACACAAACACAGAATAAACGCACACAGACATCCATGCCTCGGGTGGTATTCGAACACACAACCCCGGTGTTTGAGCGAATGAAGACGGTTCATGCCTTAGGCTGCTAGGTCACTGTGATCGGCCGGGGCCGAAGAGTAAGCCAGGAAAACAACCAGCAGGAAGGAGGCAGCAAGATCTTCAGGGCTGAAAAGCAATGAAGCAAGAAACCAGCATAAAGCATGCGGTAAGCAGAGCTGTGCTTGCTGCCTGCTTCATGTTGGTTTCTTGCTTGGCTTACTGTTGGACCTTGAAGATGGAGGCGACACGTTCATAAGAAATGTCGGTTGACTTTCACCGGCCTACATGGCGTTATATCGCAGTAGATAATAACTCTTTATGCGATATGATCAGTTATCTTCTTTCAAAGAAATCCATGTAGCTGATAATATTAAAACATTGGTAAGAAAATTAATATTTATCCGCAAAACATCAAACAATTTTTGATAATATATAGTTAACATAACTTAAATCATGACAAAATCAAATTAGGAATATTCATAGTAGAATATTCTTCATAAACATAAATAAATGTTGTGCCAAATTTATGTATTGTATTTTATTTTAAAACGACGTGCGTATTTAATACATTATTCTACGTATTATATTTAAAGTACAATCAAATTAAAATAAACACATTAATCCATAAATGTCCCTTTATATTGACACACAATTAGTACAATTAATTAATTAATTGAAAAACTGGCAAACAACAAACTTGGAGCTTAAAGGTGATATACTGAGGCTACAGACTATGTGGTTCTTATATCCACATCAGCATAAATGTTTCAGGTCGCTCATATAAGTAGTCTATACCGTATAAACACAGTAACACTTCGCTTGTTAAATAAAGAAAGCGCGATAGAACATGGGTAGGGTGAGGTGCGGAAGTGAAGGGGGGTGGGGAGTCCATACTTCATTAGATCTTTCACATAACACGTGACCGGAACATCACAAGAGGGTGGATTTTTGAAAAGAAAAATCAACTTACCTCAGCTATAAAGAGTTTCCTTTATAAATGTTTATATACTAATTTCACTTTGAGTCTTCTACTGCGATGTGCATTAGATTCGTGAAATTGTCCCTGGAAGTGTAGTGGTTTCGACGGGTCTCAGTACGTTAACGGCGACATGCACATTGGCAAAGTTCCGCAGTTTCTGATATTAAAAGCACACAGCATCCAAATTAGATACACATATGGTAGTTCACGCGTAGAGATTGAAGAGCTGGCATTACAGAACACATAAATTTCAGATAACCAATAAAACCACAATATTTAAACTTTTCAGGATTTGTTTAATGCCATTTATTGAGTTGTTTAAATTAATACAATAAGCATACGTTCAGTATTTTAATAGAGGATAATATGTCAATATGTTTACAGGTTGTCGCACTGTTTGCCCCTTTAGAACCCTCGCATCAGCTATGCCGTGGAACAACTGACTAGCGGACGTCGCTTTACCCAGAACTTCCTCCTGCAAGTAGCATTAGCGCCGCGACGGCGCATGGCGGGAACATAAAATAGAACGGAAAAAAAAATCCTCGATGAAGAAGGTCTGCAAAAACTGGAACGTATTTTGTGCGCATGCACAGTAATTTTGTGCAACGAAATGGGTTGAGAGGGGGGTTGGAAACAGAGAAAGAAGATATAGCCATGTTGCTTAACACTGTACCTCCTCTCCTGTCGCTATACTACACATAATGTGGATGTGCGAACCCCCCCGTATTGATTAATTTCTACATCGCTGACTAGCTTTTTCGAAAACGTTGGTTCGTCTTGAAAGCATACGGTGCGGTTTTCGAATTAAAGGAGAATTCTTCGGATGTAATAATTTTCCAAACACATAACAAAACAAGAACTGTAGGGGTGCAATATTATAAATGGCAAAGATTTCGCATGATTCTTTCCATTAACTCGAAGGCACCCATCTGTAGTTCTGAACAGCTGTATGGAATATCGTCATCACACCAAGAACGGGGATCAGACTGAAAATTCAAGCTCCGATACCAACTACCGCACTGTTTACTCTTCGATTCAAGTACCCTTTGAAGACGAAGGCCTCTTAACGATAACTGACACTTCGATTGCATTACACTTTGCTGCACTTTGATACAACAGCAAAATTAAATTCTGCTCTGTTTATACGTGCCAGCACTCCGTACACTCGGTAACATTGTTAGTACTGAACGCGGACTGTGAGCAAAACACTGGAATGAGTGAGAGGACAGAACGGAAGAACTGAAAGAAAATTTAATCTCTTCGAGATCCATCACAAATGAAACGAATGAGGATGAATACGGAACAAAAACTAATGGCGCAAAGCACCACTTCAGTAGAAAATAGTCACTCAATTTTGAAGCAACGAATATGGCTGGGAATTGATCTTCAATCGTGAAAATGTAAGGGTTGGTTTTGGGATGTCGTGATCACATTCAAGGAAATATTCTGGCGTCCGTTGATAAGCGGTGACTCTAAACAGCGGCCGTTGCTAGGTAATGCGCGCAACGTACGCGCATGCAGCAATAGAAGAGCTGTTTTCTGCTGGCCCTCCAAGTCGTAGAAGGCGACGAAAATGGAACCCAATGCCTGGGGATATAACAGAGTCACCCTGTTATTTGGGGATATAAATACGGGGGACCTAGCCCTCCAGGTTGGGAGAGTCTCGAATCTGAGACAATAAAAAGTGGTCACGAGCCCCGCAGGACTCGGACCAGCAGCAATTGTAAGCGACAGACCCAGCCTATCGTCAGAGAGAATATTACATAAGAACTATGACCGCAAGTGTTCAGTTGGAAAATAAAATCACTGTGTCGTGAGTCTCAAGGGGCTCGTTGCCAAGACGAACTGATTGGCGGTAAACCGCAGTCTTAAAGTAACTGTGACTCTGACGGCCAAGCATATTCATAAGACAACCCCGTCATATCGTTAGGGAGGATGTTACATAAGGACTGTTACTGTAAGTGTTCAGTTGAAAGAAAAATTCTGGTCGTGAGTCTCCGGGGGCTTGACGCCAAGATAAACTGATTGTCGGTAAACCGCCAGTCGTAAATTAACTTTGACTTTGAGCTTAGTTCATTTGTGGGATATTTCCCAGCTAGCAAGGGCATGAGCACGGAACATGAAGAATCTCCACCGGCAGGCGACTAGTGGGGACTGTAACAGACTGAAGACACTAGTGTGTTTTTGTAACAGTGAACTGTGAGGTACAGTCATGAGCTGTGGGTATAAGTCGTCAATAAATCGAGGCACGAATTCAAACGCCGACTATTGTCACTCCGTCACGTACTAGTATTCTAGCTTCCGCCGTGATATACGGAGAAAAATTAAGAGAAACAAAAGTCGGCATATCTGGTGAATGGGATTCGTACGAGTATAAAAGTGTAGAGCTCTTCCGCGACGCCAGTCCACTGGTGTACGTTCTTCGAGATGTTCCTGCTTTGTGTTCTTTGAATGTTATCTAATATAATATTAGGTCAAGGACCTATGAAACGTCCACAATGCTGCATTTCCATGCTGTCATCAAAACAGGGTAAAAATAATAAACTAAAAAAAAAAAACAGTTTTAGTTTATCTAATCGAATTAAACTCTCCAAAATATTTTATATGCCTACTACCGTACTATCGAGTTTCAAATAGCATAACTATAGAACAGGTCATAAAAGAGAGAGATATTAGGTTTTCGGACATTTTAAGATAACTAAAAAAACGACGTTTCGGAAACTGGACCCTGGTCCAATGATTGAGGCTAGCTCTTTCTAAGGGACCCAACAGAATAGGTGTTTTCCCCCACCTGAGGACGGAAACAGATCTAGTTTCCGAAACGTCCTGTTTTTCTTAGTTATTTTAAAACCAGGACGACGGATAAGTCCGAAAACCCAATATCTCTGTGTGTTATACACCATCGTCAGAATCCTATAGTAACTACTTAGGTCATAAAAGGTTAATTAATTCCGTCCAGTGTGACTGATGGAGCTCTTTCTCCTTTTTAATATTTTATCCTTAACATCCATGATATATATACAGTGTCCGTCTTGCAGTGTACCCACTTTTACCTGTCACTTCACAACATGTTTCGGCGCCATAGTGCCATCATCAGGTGCTCCGTTTATACTAATCTATTGCATTGCATGCCATTATGTCAATGTAAAATTATTTATTTATTTATTATCCTTAACATGTTTCGGTCTAGTAAAGATGGCCTATAAGACAGGAACATGTTAAGGATAAAATATTAAAAAGGAGAAAAAACTCCATCAGTCACACTGGACGGAATTAATGAACCTTTTACAATATTGCTAGTGTGACGGACCAGGATGAAACAAATCAAACTTCCAGAACAGACTTTATAAAACTCAGATATGTACACAGACGATGCGAGATTCCGCAGGCCTACACAGGTCTAGAGAACTAGAAATTTGTGACCGCTATCACAAACTACACATATTCCTGTGCCGATTTCCTCGTGAGCAGAACAATATTCCCATCTTCAATCTCTTTCCCGCTGAAGGAAGAAGTCATTCTACCAATGACAGATCCAGGAAAGTCGGGGGTATATTTTCTTCATACAAACACGTTTGAGAAAGAATTAAGTTAAGTTAATCAGATAAGTTAATTTTGAAGCTATTAGCATTATATCAATATTATATAAATAGCAACACCCAGAAAGTTATCTTAAAAAGTAAGTCATAAAAATATTGTATAGTGGATAGCACTGAATAAAGGAAACTACACACAAAACTAGACGGGGTAGCGTAGTTGGTTGAGGCACTATGCTACAAGCCGGAAGGAGGCGGGTTCAAGTCCCGATGAGGTCATTGGATTTTTTTCAATTAACCTAATCCTTGTAAGATTTGAGGCTTTCACGGCGGTGACTATGAAGAAAGCAGTCTTCTGGGAAACACCACATATACACGGTGCCAAATCCCAGAAGACTGCTTTCTTCAACCTAATCCTTCCAGCCGCACTATGTCCCTGGTGTCGACTCAGCCTCTAACAGAAATGAGTGCCAGGAATTAATTAAATAATTTTCCTGGGGAGTAAAGCGCGGCCGGTGCGCAAGGCTGACAACCTTACCGCCATTTTTGAGCCGATTGTCTAGATAATGTGGGACCCTCAACGTCTCACAACCCTACGGGCCTTCACGGCCTGGTAGAGGGATAGCTTTACTTTTTTTTTACTTTACATACAAAACTAGAAAACCTATGATTTATGTAGGTATAAAGTAGATAGTAAACAGAGATTAAGGATTTCTCACATACATTTTATCAAGATAATGCAAAGGGAATAGAAACATGAGCCTTTGGAAACATTTATATAATAGTAATGTTAAAGTGACACACAGCATGTGCAGTTTAGTTTGCATCAAGCGCACAGATATGCATACTGTGAGCTCACGTCTGGTGCAAAAACCAGCGAGTTAATAGGTGAAAGGCAAGAGGTAAAAGGTAAAGCTAATCCTCTAACAGGCCATGAATGCCCATAGGGTTATGAGACGTCGAGATTCCCATATTTTCTAGAGAAGCGGCTCACAGATGGCGGTGAGGTTGTCAGCCGCCGGCAGCGGCCGCTCTTTACCGCCAGGAAGATTCCTGGTACTGATTTCTGTTAAAGGCTGACTCGAGCTCAGGGCCATGGTGAGGTTGGAAGGATAGGTCAATTGAAAAATCCAATGACGTGGAAAAATATTTTATCAACATTGTAGAGTAATGTATAAAATCTTTTGAATACACGGGTACCGAATGTCAATGTCAAACAGGCTGTACGACAATAATTTCAAACTTTTCTATTGTATCCTACATACTGACTGAAACAACAGTGTTCTCATATGAACTTCATTCTTAATAGTTCCGTCAGAACCTGTGTCTGCTTTTCCATCTGTACCTATGAAAAAACTCTAGAACCGCTAATCGGATTGTCATTAGACTTGATGTTGGGGAGTTTTACTAAAATATGTCTGTAAGTTTCGGTTTTGGTTAAAATCGGACAAAAACACCGGACACTTGATAAAAAGATTTACATTTACGCCTTTTCTTATCTCAAATTTAAATAGCTAAATATTAATCTGGCCGGTCACGATAGCCGAGCAGTCTAAGGCCTGCACTGTCTTTGCTCGCTCGGAAGCCGGGATCGTGGATTCGAATGCCACTCAGGGCATGGATGTTTGTGTGCGTTTTTCTGTGTTTGTGTACAGGTAGAGGCCTTGCGACGAGCTGATCACTCGCCCAAGGAGTCCTACCGAATGTGTAAGATTGAGAAAAACCGAAGTGAACCGAGTTCATGGGGGTAGGCCTAGGCCCACTGGGGCTGTAGTGCCAAGGGGGGGGGGATATTAATCTGAGCAAGAATTATTTCGAACAACAGTTATAGAGAATTAAAAGCCAATTTTCCTCAATACGACTTTTTCCGTAAGCCTTACGGTTTCGAAATAGTTAACCATAGGGACTGCCACAATTTTAGAGTGACTAT